AGCTTAGCCAGTGCTATTTCTTTTCGGGGGCATTTGGATCCTCTCATTCAGGATTGAGCCTTGTCGTTTGTCTCTAATCCTCTCATTCAAAATTGAGTCTTAAAGCTTGCTTGAAGCGCAGGTCGCGAATGAGAACTAGCATATTCAGCCGGATAAGAGAGAGAGGGGACATGGCCGGAATTGGCACGAACAGCGGGAAGGGGGGGGATGTTGGTTCATGCCAGTCAGGGCAGGCAATGCTGCGGCTGGAGGGGATGAGGGCTATTCATTACCGCGACCAATGATAGAGGAGGGCGAAATTGGACGGGTCAGGTGATGAATTCATGTTTCTTCAGCATAGCCCAGCTGAGCTTGTGTTGAAGCTTGTCACATCGAGCACTGCCCGTGTCCTTACACATTCAGGGAGTCCATCAGCTTGTGTGAGGCTGACCAGGTCAGAGAACTTTCTCCGCATGCTGTGAGGAAGGGAAGAGAAGCTCGCACTGGAAGCTCCAGCGATGGACCTCTTCACCAACCCCATGAGTCTCAAGATGCTGGTTCCAGAGGAAACAGTTCAATCTCTTTCTGACAGAGGACAAGACATGAAAGTCTCCTTCCTTGATGCGGGGGTGCACGGGGGGCAACGAGCTTCAGGTCTGGTCAACGATCCGTCGATCGCAAGCCTTCCATCGTGCCCAGCAGGCCTCGCTCGCCTAGCAGGAGCGTCTCGCGTTGTCCAGGTGCGCGTCAGCCTGCCTTGAGAGACGTGACGGATGAGGAAACAGGAGACGGATGGCAGCCATGAGACTTTTATGCAAGGGCTAGCGCACAGGGATGAGCACCAGGAGCATGAGGAAGGCGGGAGAGGAGCGACGGGCAAGGACAGCGAGGGGGGAGTCGAAGGTAGAGTCTGAGAACCCAGGAGGAGGGAGTGACTTACATGTTGTTGAAGATGCATCAACTGGAAGGGAGCACAAGAAGTGAGATGCATGCTTGCAGCTCTCATCTCTCCTAACACACCTCTCGCAGGAATTGTCATTTCTGCCAGCACGTCAAGGTGAAGAAGGGACGGTCAATGGTCGCATGTGAGACGCCGGTGCGGGCATCATGTTTTTGGACCTTGTGCCTAGTGACTCGTTGTCTGATCTGACGTTTTCCTTGTTCTGCTCACCTCTTGCCTGGTCCCCTCGCTACGTCTCTTCCTCTTCCATCTCCTCCGTGCTGTCGCAGGGCTGTACGTTGCGATTTTGCGTGCACTGTTTGAATACGCAATTCACTCAAGAGGTGAGTGCAAAACTTCTCACAGAGCCACGAAGAGTAATTAATGGATGGGGAGATAGAGAAGAAGGGTAGAGAAAGATGGAATGGGGAGGGAGGAAGGGAGGGAGGGAAGGAGGGTAGGAGGGAGGGAGGAGGAGGAGGAGAAGGGTTGACAAGGATTCCGAAGGTGGAGGAGGTGTGGAGGATGAACGTGAACGGGAAGTGGAGTTGCCCTCTCTGCAAGCAGATCTGCTGCTGCACCAAGATCCCCCGCCTGTGCGACGAACTTCACCGACACTGCAAGGCATACAGGTGAGGAGAGGAGGGGAGTGGGAGAGAACGGAAGAGGGAGCCGGTCAGGGAGAGCAGTGGACAGTGAGCAAGGGGAGCTGGAGCAGCAGATACCGCAGGGGCTCGCGCAACGAGTGCAGTAGCGAGTAAAAGCGAGTTCCAAGAGGTTGCAGGCTGAGGGCGCGAGTGAGAAGAGGGAGCATGTGGTGACCTGACGTGTTGAAGAGTCGGAGAAGGTCTGGAGAGGAGGAGCTGACCCGGATGTTGGTAGATATCGAGACAAGAGAGCACAGGAGCAGTCGCGCAGGTGTAAGGACAGGTAAGAACACAAACAAGAATCAGTCCTCCTCCTCTTCCCTCTCCTCCATCTCCTCCCTCTCCTCCCTCTCCTCCTCCCTCCCCTCCTCCTCCTCCTCCTCTCTCTATGCTCCTTGGACTTCTTACAGCTTCCCGATAGTACTGGGGTATCTCTAAAATCTGAATACTGATG